AATAAATCGGGAATGATGGAGCTTCTACTATTGGTACAGCACTTGGTAACTACAAATTCCTAACTAATCTCACATTTGACATTTAGTAAAATTATTTTATAATTATTTATAAATAACTAAAAAAAGTTTTAATTACTTTATTTATTTTGATTTAAATTTCAAAACAAATTAAAATAGTTAATAAATTAATTTATTTTATTTAAAAGGGGCAATGGTATCGGTGATAAAGGAGCATAAAATATTGGATTAGGTTTGAGTAAGTGCACTCAACTTACAAATTTACAATTTTACATAGGGTAAATTTATTTCATTCATTTATAACTTTTAAAAAAATTAAGTCAAAGCTTTTTATTCAAACTGAATTAAAAAACACTTTTAATTTTTAAATATCTTAAATTTTAAATTAAATGTGATTTGCATTATTTAAAAGCAAAAATTAAATCGGGAGTGATGGAGCTTCTACTATTGGTACAGCACTTGGTAACTGCAAATTCTTAACTAATCTCATATTTGACATTTAGTAAAATTATTTTATAATTATTTATTGATAACTAAAAAAAGTTTAATTTATTTTATATATTTTGATTTAAATTTCAAAACAAATTTAAATAGTTAATAAATTAATTTATTTTGTTTTAAAGGCACAATCAAATCGGTGATAAAGGAGCATAAAATATTGGATTAGGTTTGAGTAAGTGCACTCAACTTACAAATTTACAATTTTACATAAGGTAAATTTATTTCATTCATTTATAACTTTTAAAAAAAATTAAGTCAAAGCTTTTTATTCAAACTAAATTAAAAAACACTTTTAATTTTTAAATATCTTAAATTTTAAATTAAATGTGTTTTGCATTATTTAAAAGCTATAATTAAATCGGAAATGATGGAGCTTCTACTATTGGTACAGCACTTGGTAACTGCAAATTCCTAACTAATCTCACATTTGACATTTAGTAAAATTATTTTATAATTATTTATTGATTACTAAAAAAAGTTTAAATTATTTCATATATTTGGATTTAAATTTCAAAACAAATTTAAATAGTTAATAAATTAATTTATTTTGTTTTAAAAGTGGCAATCGTATCAGTGATAAAGGAGCATAACATA